TCTCGACCTCGATGTACATGGTCTTGTCCAGCTGTCGTTTCACACCGGGCTTGTGCCCCCTACCAGCATCCCAGATGGCGCGCCAGTCCTCTGGCTGCAGCTTGATCGCGGGGTGGCCCGCGGCGCTCGTGGTGAGCCTCTGGGTTGCGTTTCCGATGCGGATCTGGCCCTTCCAGAGCGAGATGTCGATCTTGGAAGACTGGATGAAGTCCCGGCCTATGAGCAGGCTGCGCGTGGGGCTGTCCACGACGCTGAACACGATGCGGCCGGCCTGGCCGCACAGCCCCAGCGGCGCGGTGACGCGCAGCTTGCTGGGTAGGGTGCCTCCATTGCCGAACCTGTGGACCTCGCCCTCTGGCTCCTCGAGAACCTGGTCGGCGAGGCCCATCCTCGTGAGGATGCCCTTGTAGTTGTCGTGCCACTTCTTGCCCGAGACGCAGAAAAGGCAGGCGGTGTCGACCACGCCGATGCCTTCGTCCTGGGGCTTATCGCTGCCGATCGCGACGTTCACGTTCGGCAGGTGGTGAATGAGCCGCTCCGAGACACAGGCCTCCGGGGTCGGCGTCGCGGGGCCCTGCGGGTGCAGGGCGATCCTCGTCCGCGAACTGGACCACCTGGTCGTCGCGCTCGGTGATGTGCGCCTGGCGCTGCGGACGACCTGCGCGGCCTCCGCGTCCACTGCCCTTGGGCTCACCGTCCTTGGGCGCGAACTTGCGCGCGCCCGGCGTGGGGCATCGGCTGCCCCCCGCCCAGTGCCCGGCCTCGCCGCAGTCCCAGCGCGTCGAATTATTCTTGCGCTGGTCGACCCGGCCCTGCAGCTTGGTCGGTCGGCGGGTCGGCGCGGACTTGTTCGACTTGCCGCGGCCCTTCAGGGCCTCCCGAGCCGAACTAATGGCGGCCATGGCCTCGGGAATGGCGGCAAGCTCCGCCGCGGCAGCTTCGACCTTGGCGGAGTCGTCGCCGTCGAACAGCTCGGAGATGCCCACGTTGGATGACCCGAGCTCGGCGCTGAAGGCTTCGAACTCCTGACGGACAATGTCCTGCACGTCGGCCTCGTCCTCGTCATCCTCCTCTTGATTTTCGTCGTTCTCGTCGTCTGGCTCGTCGACGACATTAGTAGAGCGCCCTCCACGGCTGGAGGATGCGCTGCGCCAGCCGCCTTGTGGGCGCGACTGGTTGTTCCACGGTCTCGGCGGCAGGGCGCGGCGCTCCGACGTGTGGATGTCCGGGAACCTCCTGACCAGCAGTCCCCGGATGCGTTTTCGCGTAGCTGCTGTAGTCCAGTCTCGAAACGGGTGAGCCAATCCGTCATGCGTTCACCTCTGCGTCGGTGATGCTGCGTCGACTCGAAAAACTGGCTTCTGCTGACCTAAGCCGGCCTCCAAATGCTGCAAGACGTTCTCGATGCCGACCTGATTCCTGTTGCGCTTCTTATCGTCGGCGTCCTCGATGTCCGCTGCGGCTGCCGGATGCAGCTGTTCCTCCGTCATGCTGAGCGCTGCACTCCGTGCCGTCCCGCTGAGCCTTAGCACGAGCTTCGATGCGAGACTGTGCGCCACGGCGAGGTTCTCGCTGAGCTTCCAAAGTTTGACCTCCTGCTTGTAGTCTCTCCATTTGGCTGGGTCGCCATTCCAAGTAGGGATGGCGCTGTTGGCAAAGTTGAGGTTGTCCCCCATCTTGTCGAAAATGAAGTAGGCCGCGTCGCTGACACTGGCGTTGAGGGAGTAGCTGGCGTCGCTGACACCGTCGTAGGAGAAGTAGCTGGCGTCGCTGACACCGTCGTAGGAGAAGTAGGCCGCGTCGCTGACACAGGCGAAGGAGGAGTAGCTGTCGTCGCTGCTGAGGGTCGGTTGGTCCCCTGCCTCCCTCACCTGTTTCTACTGTTTTCCGTTGGCGCACACCTCAGGAAGGTGCCACCACCGAAGACCTCTTCAGGGCCGGGCGGGCGGGCGAGCTTGCCGCGCCAGAGCCGAGTGCTGCGCGGCGCGCGGGTGCTGAGGGGAGGAGGGAGCCAACTGAAGAGTCAGAGAGGCACCAGCAGAAAGGAGATGGAGTAGGTGGCGTCGCTGACGCTGGCGTTCTTGGAGTTGGAGTCGAAGGCGTAGTTGCTGGCGTCGCTGACGCTGGCGTTCTTGAAAGAGAAGGAGTCGAAGGCGTAGTTGCTGGCGTCGCTGACGCTGGCGTTGGAGTTGGCAGGGATGTAGGCGTAGTAGGCGTTGGTGCTGGCGTCGCTGACGCTGGCGTTGGTGCTGGCGTCGCTGACGCTGGCGGAGTACAGCGCTATGCTCAGGCCTATGAGGGCTCGCAGGACGCCGCTGGGCGTCGATTCCGTGATGGTGCACGACGGCGTCGTCGTGGCTAACAATATGGAGGCGCGCAGCGCCGGCAGCTGAGACCCGCTCCAAGCTACCACTGTGATATTGAAAGATCGCGGATCTATCGTTTGGAAACGCTCGCAGAGCGGATCGTAGCTCAATCAGCCAAGGGCCCTAAAATTATTGGAGCCAAACGGGCGGCGGCAGAGAGACCCTGGACAGCTGAGCAGCAACAGCAAAGAGCGAGTGAGAAGAGCAGCGAGTCTTCTGGAATCACACACGAAACGTGTGAGGGGTATGCCAAAATAGGGCGGCGGCGTCATGCGGACTGCGCAACTGGGACCTTCGGTGGAGCTCCCTATGCGATTGCGCCACTGGGGCCTTGGGTGGAGCTCCCTATGGGGGCACGAATGAGGTGAGGGGTGTGCCAGAATGTGGCGGCGCCGCTATGCGGACTGCGCGACTGGGATCTTCGGTGGAGCCTCCTATAGGGCCACGAAACGTGTGAGGGGTGTGCCAGAATAGAGCGGCGCCGCCATGCGGACTGCGCAACTGGGACCTTCGGTGGAGCTACATATGGGGCCACGAAACGTTTGAGGGGTGCGCCAAAGTGGGGCGGCGCCGCTATGCGGACTGCGCGACTGGGACCTTCGGTGGATCGCCAATGGGGCCACGAAACGTGTGAGGGGTGTGCCAAAATGGGGCGGCGACCCCATGCTAACTGCGCGACTGGGGCCTTAGGTGGAGCTCCCTATGGGGCCACGGAACGTGTGAGGGGTGTGCCGAAATGTGGCGGCGCCGCCATTCGGACTGCGCCACTGGGACGTTAGATGGAGCTCCCTTTGGGGCCACGAAACGTGTGAAGGGTGTGCCAAAGTGAAGGGGTGACGAGAGGAGGGAGGAGGAGGGGAGGAGGAGGAGGGAGGAGAGGAGAGGAGAGGAGAGGAACACGGGGATCGTCTCTTCAAAACGAGGACCCAACACCACAGGATGGTTGGGAAAAACAACGACGTCCGAAATATCAGGCCACGGCCAGCCAAGGCTCGAGGATCGCCAGGTTTCAAGGAAGGTGCCCTGAGGAACCCGACAAACCCATGATGGAATCTGGCCGATCGCTGGCTGGGGCTCGAGATTTGCTGGATTACGTGAGGTGCTTGCAGACCCACGAGGAAAACACGAAGTACGCATGAGAAGGCCACCAGCTGAGCTCAGAGTGGCCCGTGCAAGGCGCCCCAAGACGGCCCAACGAGGCTGCAACAACACCAGAAGATGGCCCAATGACGGCCCGACAATGCCTCGGAAAAGGGGCCCAAAGCTGCCCCAGAGGCAAAGACGGCCCCGAAAGTGCGCCAAGACGACCCGAGAGGGCCCCGTCCAGGCCCCAAGCCACCTCAAAAACGTCATCGAGGGGTTCCCGACGAGTCCGAGAGGGCCCCAAGAGAGCCCAGCTCCGAGGCAGCCCAAGGACGCCCCCGAGGACGCCATGGCAGAGCTTGCTGCTGCTTGTGCCAGTTGGCTCGGGCCTTGTGGCTACGCAGGGGCAGAAATGTAAATCACTGACACAAGCGAATGACAACTCCCAGCTGTCATCACTTGGATACACGATGCTCGTCCTCACATCCACGCTATACTCCTAGGATACATCCTGCACTATCGCTTACACGTGGGATGAATCCGGCGCCCCCATGTTAGACACCACTTGGCGCCGCGCCAGACGCATGTTCGACAACGCCCCCTCCGCACACACCTTTCCGCGTGTGAAGCATCCGGCGCCCCCATGTTGGATACCCCACTTGGCGCCTACCCACGTGCCTCATGCACGTGTGCGGGACGCACACACGACACCAACACTCCACGCATGTGTTTTCCACATGTCGGGCATCTGGCACAAGACGCCCCTTGGCGCCTAAACGCGTGAAATGCATGCACGACGCTCGAGTGTCTGACGCACGCGTGCCTTACAGTAGGAGCTCGACCACAAGAAGGCCAACCCTGAGACCCCAGGACGTCTATTGACGTTTAGTGTGAGAACGTCACGCCTTACATAGCAAAACCATCAAACCCAAGAAACCCAGGGCACCCTGGAGGCAAGCAGGGTGTTTCTTGGCATGGGTCTCCACTGTACGCATGCTCGACACCTCGACACAGCGCGTGCACTTGGCATGGGACGATACCGGTGCTCCAGTGTTGGGTACTGCCCCTTGACGCCTGGCGCCTGTACATTTTGAAAACACGTGCCAGTTGCACGCGTGCCAGACGCATATTCGATACTAACACACACTCACACACAACATACACACACATTTCTCGTCAACGGCGAGGCGGCGAAATCCGCTCCAGCGAACAGCTAGGTTGGGGCACGAACTAGCGAATTGGCCGGCGTGAAGGAGGGAGGAGGGAGGCCGAGAGGAAGGAGGGACGCTCAGACGCCGAAGAATTCGACGATGAGCAGCCAGCGGGCAGCAGTGGCACACACACACAAACACACGCACGTCTCCCCACACGAATTTGCACCTGTAAAGAAGACGACGTCTGCTGCACACCCCATCCACACCGCTCCAATCTAGGGCCAGAGGCCGAAACCCGCAAGAGGATCCTGGTCTGGAACACTTACCCGACAATCACCAGTATTCTCGAATGTCGATCCTCGATCCCCAACGTCCGATCCTCCCTCCTCCGCCACTCCTCCAGGAAAGCTCTGCACATTCTGGTCTTGTGCAAGTTCGGCTGATGCCGCAGCTCGCTGGGGGAGTGGGCGTAGCGGCAGTTCGTGCTCTGGCACTTTCCCCGCTCGAAAAAGAAGCACATCTTCGTCTTCATCAACCTGGAGGGGGGCTCTTCGGATTGCGCGACCTCAAAAAAACAAGCTCTGTCAGCTGGAGAAGAAGCAGGACTGGTGCTATCGACTCTTAGCTGGAGATTCGTACTCCCAAATACTACAGAGTCTGTAGCTGGACATATCTGCTCGCGAACAGGTCAAACAATGCAGGAACGACTCTGCGTGAAAGAATGACTTGGGTCTGTAAACATCGCGACTGCCTGTCAACCGTGAGGATAACTCAACCCGTCTAACACGGGTCTTCTTCTCAGCTTATAGTCGACATGTGCCGATGGCGCATCACGCCTCGAGCTTTTCCTCAAAGAAATCCATGACCCAACAAACGTTCCACTGGTGCCTCAAAAACGGCACCCTCTCCACCACTGACTCCCTTGAAATCCGTAGCCTCGATACCAAACGCACCTGTTTGAAAGGTCCTGACGCATGCAACCATTCTGAAACATCTCCTCAAACGTGCGAAGCAGGATAAAACAAGGAATGACGGCAAAAAAGCATCATACTTCCGACGCGCCCAATCCGCTGGCCTAGAGGTCTCGACCTCTCGCCAAGGGAATGCAAAAGTTCGTCCTGGACATATTATTGATGGCCTCGGGGGCCAAAATACGCCCTCCACTGGATGCAGAATTGTGAAAAACAACACTAGATGTGCGACGACCCTGGCGAAGGACACAACCATATGCAGATGTGGGCGCCGCAAAGCATATGCAAACAAGGAACAGAAGGAGGATGGGGCCACGAAGCGTGTAAGGGGTGTGCCGACGATGGGCGGCGCGACATGCGGACCCACTCTGTGGAGCTGCCTATGGGACCACGGAACGTGTGAGGGGTGTGCAGTGGGCGGTACGGAGGCACGCGGACCCTGCCACTGGGGCCTTCGGGGGAACCCCCTATGGGCCACAAAACGCGTGAGAGGTGTGACGCAATGGGCGGCACGGCGGCATGCGGACCGTGCCACTGGTAGAAGAAGAACAAAACGATGTAATCATAAACTTTTGGCGCTCCGCGCGGGTTTCTTGGATCTGCGCAGGACCCCCTCCCTTGCGCGCGGAGCGCGCCAGGTGCGGCGCTGGAGGCGCCGACGGGGGGGGCCAGCGCGGATCCAAGAAATCCGCGCGAAGCGCCAAAAGTTTATGTTTATGGCATTTGTTCTTCTTCGAACTGGGACCTTCGGTGGAGAACCCTGTGCAGCCGCGAAACACGTGAGGGCTGTGTCCATCTGGGCGGCGCGGCGGCAAGATGACCCAGCCACCGAGGCCATCGGCGGGGCTCCCAATGTAACCACGAAACATGTGAGGGCTGTGCCCACATGGGCGGCAGCATGGCGGCATGCGGACCCATCCAATGGTGCCTTCGGCGGAGCCCCCTATCGGGGAGGCGTAAGACTCGGGTACGGGGGACTCGGGTTGGCCTCACGGGGGCCATCATAAAAATGACGAGACCCAATCTGAAATTTGACGCGGGTTCCAGCTGCAGACATCCCACGAAAACGGGACCGTAAAAATCCAGGACGCGCTCAACAGCACAAAAATAGGCAAACCCGAGATACTCGAGTCTTCCATCTCCCCTACCCCAACGCGGCCACTCTTTGACGCTCCCGGTGGGGCCACGGAGAACGCGTGAGGGGTGTGACGGCGTGGGCGGCACGGCGGCGTGAGGCCCAAGCCACTGGGGCCTTTGGCGGAACCCTGGGGCTGGAAACGTGCGCGGGGAATACCCACATGGGCGGCACGGCGGCGCGTCGACCCGGCCACTGCGGCTAATCATCGGTAGATTCTTGGACGCAGCCACGAAGCACATGAGGGGTGTGCCCACGTGGGCGGCACGGTGGCATGCGGAACCGACCCCGAGGGCCGTTGGTGGAGCCCCCATCGGGCACACGAGGCATGTGAGAGGAGTTCCCAAAATGGGCGGCGTGGGTGCAAGCGGACACTGCCATCGGGGCCCGTGGTGGCACCCCGGCATGGCAGCCTCGCCCAGCGGCGCAAGTCCCCGCACAGGATAACATGATCCTCTCTCCCTCCCCTCCTGCTGCTTTATTCCCCAGCGCGCCCCCTCTGGTGCCGATTGACTGTTGCACTTACCCCGCTTTGTGGGCTCACGGCGGATAGCGCCCCCACCACCTGCGCACCCCCGCTGGTGTCCAGGAAGTGCCACGCCTGCCACGCCTTGCGAGCTCACGACGGATTGCGTCCCCATCCCCCGCGCACACCCTCTGGAATCCAGAAAGGGCGATGCCTGCCACGTCTTGCGACCCTGAAACGGATAGCGCCCCCAACCACTGCGCACCCCATGTGCAGTCCAGAAAAATCCACGCCTGCCACGCCTGGCGACCCTGGGACGGACAACGCCCCCCACCTCCTGCGCACCCCCTCTGGTGTCCAGGAAGTGCCGTGCTTGCCACGCTTTGCGAGCTCACGACGGACAACGCGCCCACCCCCTGCGCACCTCCTCTGGTGTCCAGAACGCGCAACGCCTGCAACATCTTGCGACCCGCTAGGTGTACGCTAGCGTTTTATGGTGCGTGTGCGTGCGCTAGCAAGTGTGTTTGTGTGTGTGTGTGCGTGTGTGTGTGAATGTGTGTGTGAATGTGTGTGTGTGGGTGTGTGTGTGTGAATGTGTGTGTGAATGTGTGTGTGTGTGTGGTGTGTGTGTGTGTGTGTGTGTGTGTGTGTGTGTGTGTGTGTGTGTGTGTGTGTGTGTGTGTGTGTGTGCGTGTGTGTGTGTGTGTGTGTGTGTGTGTGTGTGTGTGTGTGTGGGGGGGGGGGGGTGTGTGTATGTGTGTGTGCGTGCGTGCGTGCGTGCGTGGGTGCGTGCGTGCGTGCGTGTGTGTGCGTGCGTGTGTGTATGTGTGTAAGGGAGATGTGTGTGATGTGTGCGCGCGTGTCATGCAGGTGTGCGCATGCCTGATGAGTGAACGAGCGAGGCGAAGGGGGGAATAGAAAACCACAACCCACTGAGCATGTTGGTAACGATCCGCCCGAAGTTTAGGGAGGAGGAGGGGAACTGGTGGGTCAGAGTCCCCTGGGCCAGCTGTTCATCCCGAGTCGGTGTTTGACGGCCCCCGCGCCAAGGAATGGCCCTCAGATCCTGGAACACCTCATCCTGGCGATGGACCCAAAAATTCGCAGTTGTGAGTACCGCGGTTGTGAACATTGTCTTCTGTGGAGCCCCCCGATGCGGCCACGAAGCGTGCGAATGGTGTGCCCGAATGGGCGCGGCGGTGCCTTTCGGGCGCTGCCACACTAGGGCCGTCGGTGGAGCTCCCCATGGGGCCACGAAACATGTGATGGTGTGCCGAAAAAGGCGCGGCAATGGCATGCTGGCACTGACACGGGGGCCTTCGGATTTTGCGTTTCCGCCAGTGTATCTCGAGGTCGAGAAAGGCAACGATGAGACGAGAGAGACATGCTAGCGTGTGCGAGGCACCAAGGTTCCCAGACCGTCTGCCCCAGCGCTGTCCTGGAGTGGGGTGGTCTCGTCAATAATGATCGCCTGGTCGCTGCTGCGTGCACTACGATCCTAGAAGCTCCTTATGTTACCGCGAAGCGTGTGACGGGTGTGCCGGAACAGATGCGGCGGTGCCACGCGAGCGTTACCACAAGGGCCGTCGGTGGAGCTCTGCATGGGGCCACGAAACGTGAGACGGCTGCCCCGAAAGAAGTGGGTGCGGCGGTGCCACACGGGTGCTGCCACTGGGGCCTTCGGTGGAGCTCCCCATGGAGCCACGAAACGTGTGAGGAGTGTGCCGAAATGGGCTCGGCGGTGCTATGTTGGCGCTGCCACTGGGGCCCTCGGTGGAGCTCTGTATGGGGCCACGAAACGTGTGACGGGTGTGCCGAAATGGGTGCGGCGGTGCCATGCGGGCGCTGCCATGGGGCGGTAGGTGGAGCTCCAGATGGGGCCAGAAAGAGAGTGAGGAGTGTACCAAAATGGGCTCGGTCGTACCATGCGGGCGCTGCCGCTGGGGCTTCGGTGGAGCTCTGTATGGGGCCACGAAACGTGTGCGCAGTGCGCCGACATCCGCATGCAGAGGGCAGAAGCAGGGCTGGGAGGGGTGGGGGGGGAGGGAGAAAGACCAAGACAAACCCAAAACTCGCCAACGATGTTGGGATATACCCTCTTCCTAAACCCCATACAATATCGAAAAGAAATGCCGCGTTGGGAGACAACCGTGAAAACCCTGAAGCGTGCCGAAGCACAATTCTCAGGACTTCAGCGTCACGAGTCGATCTGACTGGTGCGTCTTGACGATCCTCAGGCGTGCCAGAACACCAGTCCTGGAACTTCAACACTGCCAATCAACGTAACTGTTGCGCCCTGACACCCTGAATCGCTTGAAAACAACACATTTGGAAATTCACCATAAGATAACGCGAAACTCTTGCAACTTGTTTAAATGAATCCGCGCGGCGCTAAAACGAGAACCACAATTTGAAGAGGAGCCGCCCTCAATCCGTGAAACTCGTGCAATGGTTCAAAAAGAATGTGCGCGGCGGTAAAGCGAGAACCACATGTTGAAAACGACCCGCCCTCAATCCGCGAAACTCTTGCAAATGTTTAACACGAATGTGCGCGGCGCTAAGGCGAGAACCACATGTTGAAAAACGACCTGCCCTCAATCCGTGAAATTGTTGCACATGTTGAAGACGAATGTGCGCGGCGCTAACGCGAGAACCACATTTTTAGAACGACCCGCCCTGAATCCTGACTCCGCAAAACTCGTGCAAATATTGAAGACGAATGTGCGCAGCACTGAGGCGAGAGCCACATTTTGGAAGCGGCCCGCCCTCCATCTGTGAAACTCTTGCCAGCTTCGAAGCTTCAGGCTCGCAGGTGGCAAAGAGATCTCGGTCGAAACGCCCAGCCCGCCCTTCCGACCGGCCTCGGGGTGCAACAGGGCGGAGTCATGCACGCGGGGCGCAGCTGATTCAAAACGAGGACC